CCCATCGTTTTTCTGGGAAAGGCTCAAGTCTGTAACAATTTCAATGCCAGAGATTGTAGTTACAGTGCTTGCAGACTCCTTCACGTGTGCTCACTTTGTTACAGAGCACATGCTAAAACTATGTGCCCAAACAGGTTGTACCCTGAAAGATCAACCATACCAATAAACATTACTAATTTGCAACGTTACCTGTCTAATTATCCTTCTTTACATCTGGTAGAATTTCTCACATCTGGGTTTTCTAACGGGTTTCACACAGGTTTTGTTGCAGTCTCCACAGGAATTCTGGAATGCCCCAACCTACAGTCAACACTTACAGACCCTAGTACTCTACAAGAACTCCTTCATAAAGAAATCAACAACGGTTTCATGATAGGGCCTTTCACAACCCCACCTTTCACCTCCTGGAGAAAAAACACTCTAAGCATAGCTACAGGGAAATTTAATAATAAAAAGAGACTCATAATTGATTTATCAGCACCTCACTCTTCCACGACACCTAGCTTAAATGCACTAATACCATCCAAGGATTTCTCTCTCCAATATGCAAGAATAGACAATGTCATACAAGTTATCATTCACTCCGGCAAGGCTGCATGGTTAAGTAAAACAGATATCACAAATGCATTCAAACAACTACCAATACATCAGTTACTCTGGCACCTATATGGTGCCAAAAAGTAGACCCAAGATTTTTGATATTTTTGCCAAAACTTTGACCTGGCTCCTACTTAACAAATGCAGATGTCCAGTAATCATTCACTATTTGGACGATTTCCTCTCTATTGAACCACACCACTTCACATGCTGATTTAGGAGTCCCAGTAGCCCCAGAGAAAACAGAAGGTCGCAACACCGAGATTACCTTCCTGGGGATAACACTTAATTCAGTTTCTATGCAGGCTAGCCTGCCTCAAGAGAAAGTAGACAGAATTCATCAATACATCAATATCTGCACCTCACAATGCTCTTGCACCAGGAAAGAGCTACAGTCACTTCTTGGGTCACTCAATTTCACGATGAGGATAATTCCACAGGGGAGGTCATTAATTTCCAGAATTCTCTCTCTCTTACACAGTCTCCCCGACGATGATTCCACAACAAACTTAGACGAACCAGCTAAAACAGATTTAAAAATGTGGCATCTGGTGGGGGCGTGGCTTAACCGCAGAAGCGAACGGTCGCATGGCCGCTGAACTCCAGGCCTTGAAACGATAAAAACCCAGCAAAAACCCCCATAAACGAGCCAAATTTAACATGGGGTGGCCCCTACATTGAAGCAAAAGCAATGGGGCGAAAAACTAAAAAGATGAAGCCCGAAAAACCTAAGGTGGGCATGCACATTGGGGAGCTCTGGCGGAAGGCCCAAGACGCCTCTTCCTCTTACATGGCATCCCTGCATGGTGGATGCTCTGACTTCTACGAAGAATCCTCAGACGAGGCAGAAGGGGAACCCACTCAGGCTTACCTCAAACCGCCACCGGCTTAAACACAGCCCCCACCACCGGCTGTAATACCCACGCTGGTGAGCATGGAGGCCATCAGGGACCTAATGGTGGACCACCATAAGAAAATATCGGCAGATGTGGCCTAGCTCCGAGACACCCTGCAGGGCCTCAATGGCCGACTCGGGGTGGTAGAAAACACTATAAGTGCCCAAGATACACAAATCAAGGAGCTGCAACAAGATATCCAGGCACTGAAAAATCAGTATATGCAAACCGACCTGCGTTTTGCCGAGCTAGAGGACAAACGCAGGCTGAAACACCTCAAGATTAGGGGGATAGCGGATACTATGCCAGACTCTGAACAACCCCACATCATATGACGGCTCCTCACAGCACTGCTGACCCCGAAGCAGGCCAAGGTGGTGGCACTGGATGGCATATTTCAAATTCCAAAACTGCCAAAGCCCCGGCCGCTGCCTCAAGAGATGTGGTTCTCCAATTCCAGACCCACAGAGACAGATCCGCAGTAGCCAGGAACCAGCCGACTTACCCCTTCGAAGACGCAAACCTCACATTCCTGCTGGTGACAAAGGGCAACGCCACGCACAAAATCCACTGTATGCAAGAGGCACCGACGCTGCTGGGGCTGCTCGGCCTCCCTCTGGACTCACTCACCCAGCTGGCACCTAGGGAGAGACCCGCGAACCCCTTGAGCTGGAAAACTGCCAGTGCTGCTGAGTTCGTCCCCAGGCGGCAGAACGGAGCACCCCACGCCGCCGCCATGACCTAAGAGAAAGTTCGGGACTACTAAGCACCTTACCGGGACATTCCCCCACCGCACAGAATGAACCACGCATAAAATTTCACCCCGAGACGACACACAACCTGACCAAAGCACCTATCCACCTCAAGAACTCACCGAACTGGCAAACCTGCATAGTGGGAAGAGTTTGTGCATCCCACCAACAGTAAGGCACTGTGCTGGGGCTTTTTTTTGGGGGGGCCACTAGGACCCTACGCATTAGACCCACATTTTTCTGTGCATAATATTAAGTTTACGGACTGCCCCTGGTGACACCACTCTTGTGGGGTATTGCGCCCGTGACTCAAGACGAGCCTCTAACTTTTAACTTTAAATTTTTAAGCAATAAGCCCCCACCACACAAATTTGTTACCAATGCAGTGGCATGGCAGCCAGTACCTAGGTACTTGACTCAGAAAAGCGGGCTTACCCAAAACCGCAAAGCATACCTATTTTGCCCATTAAGCCCAAATATTAAATAAAGCTTAACGCATCCAACCTAAAGAAACCCCCTAACCAAAGAAGTTTAACATGTTGTTATACGTTCATCTTAAGTTATATTGTTATTTTATTTATGACGCAGGGTAATGTGTATAACACTGTCGCAATGTCCTTACCTATCTAATTGTCTTACAATTTGCCTTACAACCTGCCTATCATCTGTTTATTGCCGACATGTATGTCACACCAGTTTAGTATAGGCCTCAAACTTGTCTGAGTTGCTGGCACTAACCACATCTGATGCCTCGCTATACACCTTAGACATGTGTGAGTATCACGTTTTATTTCAGTTACTTTCATTTAACTGATTATCTAAGCATGTTCAATATAAAAACTATGCAATTTATCGTGTCACTGTCTAGCCTGTATAAAACTTGAAATACGCTGTTGTGGCGTCTGTTGACATATTGTGACCAACCGCACAACAAAAATAAACAATTAAAAAAAAAATGTGGCATCTGTTCCTATCCTCTTAGAATGGCAGGTCCATTCCCCGCATTTCTGACGATTCCCCGGTAATTTGGACTGAAGCATCAGGTGCCATAGGTTATGCAGCGATTTATGGTAATTACTGGGTATGCGACTCTTGGCCACCAGAGACTACCTCACTAGAAAATTTCAACACCACCTCAGCACTATTTGAAATCCGATTGTAGCTGCTGCACACAAATGGGGTAAAGAATGGAGAGGCCAATCAGTGAGGTGTTTTTCAGACAACTTGGCAGCATATAACATCATAGATAAAGGCCGCTCTCAGTCCCTTACTATTATGAACATAGTAAGAAAACTTACCTGGCTAGCGGCAAATCTACAGTTCTGTATATATTGTATTCGCATTCCAGGTATTCAGAATAACGCAGCTGAAGCACTCTGCAGGAATTTTTCAGGGTCCATCCGACAGCAAAATTGCAAGCCAGAGAACCTCCAAAGTTCACAGACCTAGTAATGCTCTAAATACCCTGTTAAGTCATAGTAGGTCGCTTGGAAAGGCTGGGTTGTCACTCAATACCAAAAAAGCCTATTCCAGAGCATATGATTTGTTCAAAAAATTTGTACGTGATTACTATGTAATAATAGTTTTTTCCCATAGAAACCATGGTCGCATTCAAAACTTTTTGTCACATATCTCTAAAATTAGTGTGACAGATCCATCTGTATAACCTGTGATTGCTGGTTCGTCTGTTTTGCCGTTTTCGTGGTATTACTCATTCGTATGCCTCTGTTCGTATAATGGACGTTTTTTGCCGAACAAACTACCGAACAGACGGCCACCCAGAAGAGAAGTGTGCTGCTGGTTAACCTCTTGATCCCAATTAGAACGTTGTGGATAACCGCAGACACTTCTCAATTAAAACCGAATACAGGGTGGTCGTAGTTCGTATGTCGACCACGAGGCGGCGGCCATTTTAAACCATGCGAAAGACCAGCGGTGTTCGGCATTGATTTCATGGAACTGAAAACTGACACTTTTTCTGCCGAACACCCCTGAAGCCGCCGACCTCCCTTCTCAATCAACAGAAGTATACGAACACTGGCCGTTCTGGAGTTTTAAACGCACAAATGGACTTAACCCAAATAGCCTTCCCATGGAGTCAATCGCATACCGAAAGACTGTAATAGACTTTGACTCCATGGTGATTGAACTATACATATGGGATCTGAGCGCTATTCGCCAATAATATGCACTCAGATCCAGGCTATCTGGGGATATGTGATACATATGGGTAACATTCGACAAATGTAAAGTTATATATTTTTATGTGTTTTTCTATGTTGAATTTAAAATGGTGATTTGCCTCTGTCCTGGAGATAATTGAATTACTTCTCAATTATCTCCAGGGCAGAGGGTAGGAAATACTAATGTATGCTGGGAATATTCTGGGTCTGTGGGTCCTAACCTGCCATATGTATGTCTA